GAAAAACAACATTTTTTAATTTCAGCTATAAAAAATATATAGTAAACTCAAAGTTGGTTATAAATTTAGGCCAAAATGTATTCTGCTACATGTTTTTGGTAAAAAAAAATCCCAATGAGTGTATATTGATTGCTTTGTGTGGAAGTTATATAGCGTCTACAAACTATGGTATAAATACTGCAATTTACGCCATTTTTCTGCTATACAGCGCTGCGCTAGTTTAACGGACAATTGCGCGGTCATGCAATACAGTACATAAATGAAATTTACATCCTTTTTTTCCCACAAATTGAGCTTTCTTTCGTAGTATTTGATCGTCTGTGCGGTTTTTATTTTTTGCGCTATTAAAAAAAAGGCTGACAATTTTGAGGAAAAAAACAATATTTTGGACTTTTTGCTATAAAACATGTCCAGTTAAAAAAAAGTTTAAAAATCAAATTTAGTCATAAATTTCTGCCAAAATGCATTCTGCGACATGTCTTTGCTAAAAAAAAAAACAATACGTGTAAATTAATTGGTTTACGTGAAAATTATAGCATTTACAAATGGCGGGAAAGATACTGGAATTTTTAGGTTTTTTTTATACTAATAATGGCGGCGATCAGCGACTTATGGCGGGACTGCGGGACTGTGGCGGACATTCTGACACTGGGGGGGTACTGACTTGGGGTCACTGACATCCCCAGTGACACCAATACAGTGATCAGTGCAAAAAAAAAAAAAAACACTGACACTGTACTAATGGCACTGGGGAGGAAGGGGTTAAGTTTATTTTGCAGGGAAGGGTTATCTGTGTGAGGGGAGTGTTTTACTAGGGGGCGGGGGTGTGTACTGCAGGGAACACGGTTGATCGGTTGATCGGGAGAGTGAAACTCTTCTGTCCCGATCAGCTTGTCCTCGAGCTGTCAGAGAAGTGACAGAAAGCACAGCTACTGCAGCTGTGTTCTCTGTCACTGATTGCCGCCGATCGCCAGGAAATAGCTGGTAAGGACCGGCTGTGACCCGGCGACTGACACCCGTGGCTGTGATCGGCGGGATAGGAAGGGCGGCGGCGCGCCTCACATGCGCCCCCTACCTGTTTACAAAACACACGTTTTAAAACGTGGTTTTGCCTGCCCGTGCCGCCCTGCCGCCGTATTTCTACAGTGGCAGGGCGGCAAGTGGTTAATGGAAAGGATATAAATCCACTTTGTGTACAACACATGCCTTTGCAAACCCAGATTGGGTTGTACACAGCTGTACATAGCATCTGCAGTGAGCAGAGCTGTGGGAGGGGCCCAGAAGTTCCACCCACTACAGGCTGCCTGCAGAAAACTACAGGAGGGGGGCGGGGACAAGACCAGTCACCCTGCACAAGCTGAGACCACAGCAGTGAGCGGTCTTTATTACAGGAAGCTCCTGCACAGAGGTAACATTTCACACTGGATCACTGCAGGAAATCTGGAGGGAACACACAAAGTACAGCAAGATTCTGGAATATACATGACTCTTGTACTTTATTTACAGTATTTGTTTATCCCGGAGTTCAGCTTTAAAATCTAAATGAGAAGCAGTAATGATTTGTGATGCAAGTTCTGTTTAGAGAGTGACATACTTGGTATAATAATATGTAGCTACATTATACAATCTATTAATATGATCTCAGGTATTTGCTTTTTTAAGTCTTATCTCAGAGTGGGGTGGGGTGGCGGGTGACTCAGAGTTTGTTTGCCCCGGGGGCCCCACCAACTTAGTTCTTAGTGCCTCTGAATGTAAGCAAAAGAAACTCTATTACAATATTCTTTTCCAATTAGTCTGCTACTGATGAACTATGTCAAGGGTGTAAGGCTACATTCACCCCGGAGATTTAGGCCAGAGCAAATCGTCTGATTCCTGCTGCAGCTCTGAGCAGAAAGGTGTAGCCGCCAGCCCTGTTCACTATGACAGCTTGCCAGCAGTTGCAGCTATTCGCGGCTCTCTGCACAGCCAGCGATTTCCTGCGGTTATCACTGCTAGATGCACTTTGTGTGTGTCCAGCAGCGATCACCGCAGGTAATCACTGGCTCTGTGGACAGCCACAGGCAGTCGCCAGCAGTCTTCTAGTCGCACCATCCTAAATCACTTCTGTAAATGTAGCCTCAGGCTCAGTTCACATTAGCTTTGTCAGCAGGCGTCAGACAGGCGTTTGGGAAGCGTTTTTTATGCTTTTCAAACGCCTATGAAAATTCTGCACATGGCACCACACAGTGTTGTTCACACTGAAGCATTAGCGTCGCGGCAAAACTGACGCCTCGTGTCCAGTCAGGAGGAGTTGAAGCCTCCCATTCAAGTCTATGGTGCCGCTCCGCAAACACCTGGCAGGCGTTTGCGGTGCGATTGCAAGTGGTTGTGGAGCGTTAATACCATTTAACTTCATTATAGGCGTTTGTGGTGCGGTTTTAAACGCTTGGCAAACGCCTATCAAATGGCTCAAAACCGCGCATAGGGCATTTGGGGAGCGTTTGAGGAGCGTTAAAAACGTTTCCCAAACGCCCGTCAAATGCTATAGGGGCATATAAACAAAGGTGCAGCGCTAAAATTGGTAAAATAGGGTACTGCATAGAATGTAAACATATGATCATTAATAAAGTGCAAATCAACAAATCAAGTGACTTATTGTGCCAAACCATATATATCACTAAGCGTGACCAGAAAGTGCAAAGCAAATTATGTGGGCTATTCTTTTCCTGACCACACGTACATACACAATAATCAAGGAAACATATAGTCCAAAGTTAGGCGTGAATCAATCTCAATATATGAGGTGCACGGACGATCTCAAGGATTTCCGACAACTGGTATTAGCGTCCAGTAAGTGAGGGTGTATCCAGAACTATAAAAGACTGCGCACTCACCAGATGCGCAATCAGTAAGCGCATTTTAAGAGGTAACACTCTTAGTAGAGCCGTTGAAAGCTCCTGGTCTGGTCTGTTGCTCCTCACTAGTTAATCAACTGTCTGTCATAGGCTCAAACCTTCCCTCAAAAGGCTCTGTGGGTGGTGGGAAGCTCACATAGAGCCCCAGAAAGGAGGCCAATAGCGTGATATTGTTTCAAAAATCACATTTATTAAACATCCAGCAAGCAGATATAAGAAGGAAATTAACATTACTGACCAGACATCAAAGCATCAAGATGGTCGCCGGGATGCACGTGGCATGACGTCACTGCACTGTAGCTCCTCCCTGACGTGTTTCGTGCAAATGCACATAATCAAGGGGGGTACACTATAGGGGCGTGTGGCAAGAGTTAGAAATAAAGTCAAGTGTGAACGAACCCTAAAACAGCTAGTTTGGCAAACGCCAAGGCATTTTGTACTGCACCATTGGGGTTCTCTTTTGTGTTTTATCCCTTACATGACCATTTGGGAGGTGATCAGGAGGAAGAAGGGTGGCTGTGCATCATTTCAATGCCTTTATATCGATTACCAACCAACCCATGGAATGACATCTGTGTATCCTGAAGAGAGTGATATCATGGTGTATGGGAGACGGTGATTGTTATCTTTAAGCGATTTAGCCAACCATGAGAATGGGGGGGGCATAATTATCTGGTGAGTGCACACCCAAAAGGGGGGACACTTCATTCTGCACACGTGGTGAACTTTCTTGGAGAACTTGAAGACTTTGTGGGTTCATTAAGGACTTTTTCACAAAAGTTATATTTTGACATTCAAGTTATATTTTCTAATTCACTTTATGACATTGTGCGCTACTGAACCACTTTAATGTCATTTTTGTGGGTCACATTGATTTATTAGAAGTGGCAGCAATGATTTGAGTACTATTTGCATATATATTTGGCACGTAATTTTAAGAACAGTTTGTTTGTTTCTTTTTTAAGTTTGGCAAACGCGCCCCAAAAACTCATACTTAAAAAAAAAAAAATTAAATGGAAGCTCAAAACACTGTGCCAGAGACAGGATTTTAACATAAGCTGCTCATATGAAAAAACTGGTGTTTCACATTACTAACCTTTCCTTCTGAAAATTCCAGCCCACTGGCTTCAATGCTTTGAGTCACGGAATAACGTAGATCAGGAATGTCAGAAGTCCTAATACGCATACTTGCTCCAGATCAGGGACTCAAAAGATATTAAAGTAAAAGGGTCAAATCGGCAAGTCAGGCATCTAATAATTTCAGAAGGAAAAGCTGGAAATGGCAAAGTCCACGCTTCCTTTAACTCAGGGGTGCTCAACGTTTTGAAGCACGAGGACCACTTAAAATGTTAACACAGTAAAGTCAGTCTGTATATGCAGTAAAGCATGCTTGTTCTACTCACTGTGGAACCTAAGGGTTAATTCTCTGCATTGTGTAAAAACGCTGTTTGATCCTGACTTCTCTAATCCTCCCCTTCTTCCAGTGTCCCCCTGTTATCTCCTGATAAGACATATTGTGGGGAGACACTCTGCACATGCTCAGTTGAACATTGCTAAAGAGGGGGGTGTTTTTGGGGGTGGAGTGTATGTGATCAGAAAAGGGCAAATCAGCACTGTCCACACAGACGTCAGGGGTTCTGCATGCTCCTAGAACATAACAAAGACTCCTCCTACAAGCTTTAACAAGTGCTCTGCTGGACACTGATAGAAGTCAGAAGACTGCTGTAACTGCTGATGAGAAAAGGTATTTAGCAGTTTATATTTACTAAAATAATTGCATTTCCATGTTCTGTGTACTGTGGGAGAGTGGATATAGTGAATGCAGGGTCCGGGGAGACCGGATATAGTGAATGCAGGGTCCGGGGAGACCAGATATAGTGAATGCAGGGTCCAGGGAGACCAGATATAGTGAATGCAGGGTCCGGGGAGACCGATATAGTGAATGCGGGGGTCCGGGGAGACCGGATATAGTGAATGCAGGGTCCGGGGAGACCGGATATAGTGAATGCAGGGTCCGGGGAGACCGGATATAGTGAATGCAGGGTCCGGGGAGACCGGATATAGTGAATGCAGGGTCCGGGGAGACCGGATATAGTGAATGCAGGGTCCGGGGAGACCAGATATAGTGAATGCAGGGTCCGGGGAGATCGGATATAGTGAATGCAGGGTCCGGGGAGACCGGATATAGTGAATGCAGGGTCCGGGGAGACCGGATATAGTGAATGCAGGGTCCGGGGAGACCGGATATAGTGAATGCAGGGTCCGGGGAGACCGGATATAGTGAATGCAGGGTCCGGGGAGACCGGATATAGTGAATGCAGGGTCCGGGGAGACCGGATATAGTGAATGCAGGGTCCGGGGAGACCGGATATAGTGAATGCAGAGTCCGGGGAGACCGGATATAGTGAATGCAGGGCCCGGGGAGACCGGATATAGTGAATGCAGGGTCCGGGGTTTAGTAACACTTAAGTGATTGGTAACCAGTCTCAGGCCACAATGAAATGGATCAGAATTTAGAATTTTTTTATTTTGAATAGCATAATGATTGCCAGTGGGAGGGAGAAGAGAAGCCAGCTTTCCACGGTTGCAAGAGGAAAGTGAAGTGGGTCAGTTCCTGTATATGCCACACCTGCCGCCCCTCCCTCTCTGAAAAACAGAAAGTGACAGGGAGGCGACACGGGCCCCCTGGAGCATGGGGTCACCATTGCGACCCCTGACACTACACCAGTGGTTGGCCAGGGGTGTGATAAAAAACATGTTTCAACTATGGGGTTCTATCACTCCCCAAACCACAAATGTAAACAAGCCCTTTCTGTCCTGAAATTTCCAACTTTTGAACACTCCTTTGAATTACACTGGTTGCAAATTAATGTTGATTTGATGCCAATAATGATTAGAAAATCAAACAAATGTTCTTAAAACAAACATTTCTAATGAAGACTATATTCTTACTGCTCAGTTGCCAAAACATGGTAACTATGCATGTGCGTCTTTCCTGTGTTTTTCACCTGACATGTGACTCAAAAAACACAACTGCAGGTGCATTTTTGCTGCGTTTTCAATTAATTTCAATGGGGAGGTGCGTTTCTGCTGCGTTTTTGCTGTATGTGCAATTGTATGCATTTTTGCCATGTTTTCCATTCATTTCAATGGGTAGGTGCATTTTGAGTGCTTTTTTTAACCGTACCAAACATGCACCAAATGCTGCTCGCAAATGACCAGTGTGAAGAGTTCCATAGAATTTAATGGTCATGTTTTTCTTCTGCTTTTTTTTAATGCATAAAACAAAAGAAAAACAGATCATTGTGAAAGTAGCCTAAATTCTACTAATGTATCGCCAGCTTTAAATCCGCGGACACTAACACACGTCACACATGACACTAACACACATCTAAAACAGAAGAACAAAAGTAGCAGAGCAGGTCAAAAGGTAAAGGGCACGATCCCAACCCAAAGACAGCTGAAGGGTAACCTATGGCTCGGATACTTTTCACTTAAAGGGGAAGGTCTTGATTTTAAAATAAAAACACATTGGGCTCAGCTTTCAACACTCCTTGTGGTAGACTTTGTTCTCCGAATACAGCTGCTTCTCATTAGGGCACCATGTGCAATTTCCATGTATGTATTTTTATCACAAAGCACCAGCATTTTTAGCTTCAGCTGCAATTTACGACACAGATGGAAAGACTATATAAGCTCAAAGACATATCAATCTATTAATTATCCTTTTGAAATGCATAGGAATGCTTTATGCAAATATCAGAAAATCCTTAAAGTGATTGTAAAGGTTTTTTTTTCAATGGTTTTGAACAAAGCGGACCCGATTCTCCTCTTCTGGGGTCTCCCGCCCAGCATTCCTGGCTCATCCCCCCCCCCCCCCACAGCAAGCTGCTTGCTATGGGGGCACTAATGCGGGCTGGATCCCAAATTGTACTGTGTGCATCTATTGACACACACAGTGCGGCCCAGCACCGCCTCCTGCTCACACATCAATGCATTTGATTGACAGCAGCCAGAGCCAATTCCCACTGCTCTCACTGTCCATAGAGGAGATCAGCCCTTCTCCCTCCTCACTGGTGATTGACGGCAGCTGGAGCCAATGGCTCCCACTGATCTCAGTCCAGAGAGGAGGGAGAGAACAGTGCCACTGCTGCTCCCAGGCACAGTGCTGGATCAACACAGGGCTCAGGTAAGTATCTGATAATAGAGAGCTGCACACGAAGGGTTTTTTACCTTAAAATTACTTTTTTTTAGCTTTGGATACAGTGGAGAGGGGTTAGAACATACTGTAGGTTTTATTGCTGTCTGCTGATTCACTCTCTCTGTTTGTCCTGTTTACCATCAGTGAAAGAACATCCCAAATTTGGAGTTGTCCCCAGAAATGTAAGAGGGGAAACCTTCCAATGGGGACACTAGTTCTGGTGACCTGGGGATCCCCATGGGATTACCTTAATTTGCAGGGATTTCCTCTCACTTCCTGTTTTGGCTAAGAGACAGGAAGTGAAGGGAAATCTCCCCAATGGGACACAGATGGCAAAAAAATAAACTAACAGGGGTTATAACCCTCCCTTACTCCAAAATGGAAAAAAAAAAGTTTTGCCAATAGTTCTACTTTAATGCAGAGAATGAATTAAGGTAAAAAAAACCTTCTGCCTTTACAACCATTTTAACCTTCTAAACCATGGTCCTAAGATGCTAAAGATGCCAGAAAGCAGGTAACACAATCGCAAGATAATAGTCTTTGTATATATGTAAAAAAAAAAAAATTCCTAGCTATTTGAATATATATATATATATATATATGCAGCACAGTGGCTAAATGGTTAGCACTCCCACCTGGCAGTACTAGGGTCTTTGGTTCAAATCCCAGCCACGGCACAACCTGCCTGGAGTCTGAATGTTCTCCCTGTGCCTGCGTGGGTTTTCTCTTGGTACTCCTGTTTCCTTCCACACTCCAAAGACATGCTGGTAGGTAAACTGGATCCAGTTTAAATTGTCCCTAGTATGTGTATTTCTGAATGTAAGTTAGGGACCTTAAATTGTAAGCCCTTTGAGGGTTAGGGACTGATGTGAATGTACAATATATATGTAAAGCACTGCATAAACTGACAGCACTATAGAAGTACCTGAAATAAATAAATATACACATTGGTACTTCAGGTGGTTATTACAGTCAGATGCCTAAAGCTACAGGCATTATCATGATTTTGTTTTTTTGCAAGCGATCAGCTTGCAGCTTTTTTTTTTGTAAAAGCCATCCTAGTGGCCAATTGGCTGCTGGATTGCTTTTTCAAGCAGAGGGATGGGGTCACCCTCCCCACTTGCCGGTGCCACGCTGGGCTCTCTGTCCCACCAGAGAACCCATAACTGAAGCCAAAGGCTCTCTGCTGGCTTACCATAGAGCTTTTCAAGGACCAGAATGTCCCCAGCTAGCGCTATGGTATAAGAATCTGGAAGAGTCTAGTATTTTGTCTCTCCTGGTTTTCCCTAATGTAAAATGCGTCATTTTTAAATTGGGAAAGCCCGTACGCAAAGGTGAGCACACGCATTGGTCCCGCACACATACATAAATGGTGACTGTGCCACACGTGAGGTATCGCGAACGTCAGGGTGAAAGCAATAATTCTAGCACCAGAGCTTTAGGCGCCATTCCACAAGGGTTCACAATTTTAAAGCATGACATGTTAGGTATCTATTTACTCAGCATAATGCCATCTTATATATTTTACCACAATTGGGTATTGTATTGTGTTTGTGTGCATTAAAATGCATTTTTAAACATTTATGAAAAACTGCTGTACAAATACAGCGTAACATAAAAAAATTGCAAAACCCGCCATTTTATTCTCTTGGGCCACTGCTCAAAATATATATAAAGTTTGGGGGGTTCTAAGTATTTTTCTAGCAAAAAATACAATTTTGTTTTTTACATATAAACAAAAAGTGTCACAAAAGGCCTGGTCTTCAAGTCTCTTCTGGTTAAATGTTCTTCTTGGGCAGTAGTAAAATTAGGCTCATCCACAATGAACGCCTCCTCTTTTTTTGAAGCCTAAATTTATGCAGAACATTTATTTATTTTCAAACCTTTATAACAGAAACAAAGAAACAGGTTTTTTTTTTTCAAAATGTTTGGTCTTTTTTTGTTAATTTATCAAAAAATTAAAACCCCAGTGGTGATTAAATACCACCAAAAGAAAGCTCTAGTTATGTGAACATTTGTGATAACATTTTAGTTTTGGTACAGTGTTGCATGACTGCGCAATTGTCATTCAAAGTGTGAGAGCGCTGAAACGTGAAAATTGGTCTGGGCAGGAAGGGGGTAAAAGTGTCGGTATTGAATGGTTATTCATTTTTTTTTTTTTAAACTTTTTTTTTATTTAACGTTATTGCTATCACAAGGGGTTAACAAACCCCAATGTAATATAACTGGGCAGGTGACAGGTAATCTTTAAAGGAGTGAATTGGAGGGAGGGAGAAAAAAACATGGCCACTAGATGAAACTCATGGTCATATGAAATAAATACATCTTTGTAAGAAGAAACAATATAATAATTCCTAAAAACGCTGGAGGGAAATTTTAAATAAATGTAACCATTACAGATGCTTACAGATGCCTCCAGCATTGCTAGAATGGTTACACTGTATCTCTTCTTACCAGGATCTATTTATTTTCTTATGATCCTCAGCATTATTTAGTTGCCATAATGTGTTTTTCCCCTATTCGCACTGTATTCATTATATATGAAGCTGTTTTTCCTATTGCTTATAATATTTGAAGCTCATTCGACCAGAAAAGAAAATACTGTAGTCTAAGAACATTTAGTTCTAACAGATGAGTGATAAAGTTCCTATTTGGGTGTCAATGATAATGTCTTGATGACATTGACATTTTTTTGGCAGTAGCGGCTCGGCTAAGAGCTGCGGTTACACTAAAGAAACTCACTGCACATGGTTTTGAACACGGGAGAATTCTTGTTCCAGTAATGCTGGGGGAAAACATTCAACGTATAGTCCATAGTAGCATCTAAGTAGAACAGAGGAATTGCTTAAGTTGGCCATATAATAAGCAATTTTCATTCCTGCGACCATAGATTGCAGGAAAGAAAACCGCTTGATTCTCCTATCAACACAGTCAATATTGATAGGGGGAATCCCTCCCACAGTGTTATTGTGCTCTGCCAGTGGGGAGCCTTCCCTGTCAGCAGAACACAATGATCACTGCTAGCTGCTATAACTGCTTGCAGTGACCACATGAAAGAAATCTGACAGGCTGGTTGTCCAGAAGTCGACTGAAGGATCAACTTCAGTACAACCAGACTGCCCATAGATGATCGAATCTTAGATGATACCTGCTGAACCAGCCAAGATTCGACCAATCTATGGCCAACTTTAGAATTGGCACCCACAAACAAAAAGGCTACTTTGCATGGACTGCCA